TTGATGTCCATCAAACAAGATGACAGGACTATGCTGATTTAGATGATCTCAGCAGGGCAGCATTAGGATGCTGGGATTAGCCTCTGTGCACTACAAATCAAGCAAGTTCTTTTGAACTTAGTTGAATGGCTATAGGGATGCTACAAGTTTCTTTGTTAATACTCCTAGGCTAGGAAGGGAAAATGAGCTTGAGTTAATATTCTTGATCACTGTCCTCTGCTGGAAAGTGTAAATGTTGGATGAGGACAGGATTGAGCTTGTCTGTGATGTTTCCATGCTTGAGTGACCTGCTGGCACTTACAGTCGGGGTAAACTCATGAAAAATTGCTTCTTGGCCAAAGTACTGAAGGGTTCTTGCTGCCAGTGGAACCATTTTTCCATTGATATGGGGACATCAAGAAAATAGGAGAGTCTATTTTGGGAGGAGGGGGATTATACTGTTTGTTTCATTCCAGAATGGGGGGTTGCTGCATTTGTGATCAGTTCACATTTTTTAATCTTCATGTTTCCTTGCAAAATTTTCTTGCAGCTTTCCAAATGCATTCTTCTTTTTCAGTTACATACACAATAAAATATTCTAGTCATTGCAACACAAAGTAAAATTACATTACATATGTGCCTGTAGAAGAAAGCTAAAAGTGACCGGATTTCCCAGCACTGGACTTATTTGACCCTGCTCAAAATTGGATCAACTGCTGCCCCAGTCTCCAGAATAAAAATTTGGGGATTCTGAAATAATGGGATATGGCGATATCGTTGTGAGATCTCTGTGTTGCAATGGTGTCAGATTTGTCACGTGTATCAAAAGCATTAAGAAGTTTATTTTTGTGATCAACAACAACAACACATTTGTGTAGCGCCTTTCACGTCGGGATGAGGTTCCAAGGCGCTGGACAGAGTATAGCATTTCAGATCACTGCTACTAAAGTAACAAGAGCAATCTTGCATGATTGTTCAGGTGTGCAGAAACTGGGCTCCTATACCATTATTTCCTTTGTTGTCTCCATGATGGTCCTCCCTTCAGAAGTATTGAGGCAAATGGAGCAGTAAACACTTGAAATTTGGTATTGAACTATTAACTTTGGCACCACATTCCTTGCTCCAGGGTGAATCATATAAAGCAGCTCGATTATTATTTTGAATTCAGTAAACTATTCCATTGAAGAACAGTATTTTTTTGAAAAACACAAAATGTGCTGTATGAAAATAATCAGATGTTTAAAACAATTTCTTGTATTATTTGTATACCTTCACACATTATTGATTTCTGTCTTTACTCATTAGTCTTTCTAACACGTATGTAGAAAACAACAAAGTAGTTTCAATTTGCAAGCTACTCAGTCAAGACAGAGTGGGTTTACATTCCTTGTACATCCAGCAGGGCTCGTCTCCCCATGTTCATGTCACTTTAATGAGAAAATACTTTACGAAGGTCAATTGTAACCCACTGCTGCCTGTTATTAGATCATCAATCACTGCCAGAGAAGGCTGCATTATACAGAAAATTTAGCCTGTAACTTGTTGATGGACATTTGTTTGTGGTTTTCCTAGGGTGATGTGAAAGTAAGGATGTTTGCGAGATTAGGTAGCTGTACCAGGAAACAGATTTATCACACTAACTACACAGCTGTTTCATGATAAATGCTTTGTACTAATTTAATGTATGATAACACAAACAGCATGATGAAGCCAAAATGACATCTACACATTTTTGTACATATGTTCAGATTGATTTTTTACATAAATGGCATTGCATATGACAATATGCATGTAAGGCCTTGTTTACTTGTGTTCAAAAGAATTTGTCAATTATGAAGTGAATTATTGTCCCAGGGCAAGAACTGTACAACATGTGCCCTAAAGACTTCGAGATCTTCACCTACATACCAGTGTTAACTGACTACTAAATGTACATGAACAAGTTTTGAACTGATGTCTGCTTGGTGCTTTTCCAAGTCAATATAGATGATATGGGGAAATCGGTGGCCTACATGGGTGGGTGCAATCTGAACTCTGCCCCACTGTTGTTTTTCCATTGGTGCTGTCAACCTGCTGTTTCATCACACTGCGTGCAAACACACTCTGTTGTGCTGAACTGCTAATTGTAAGAATTTAAAATGTTTGGAGAGTTTTTAAGTTGAAATCCAGCATTGTTAGCTTTCTAACCTTCTCCCCTCATGGTGGCAACTCTTAGAACAACCATTTGAGTGTGGGTCGATGGCACCTCACCCAAATGGTTATTCTAAATCTCTGTCAGCCTGCACTGTGAATGTTGGCCGATTACTCAACCATGGAAGATATCGCTGAGAAGCTTAGTTAGTTGAGCACTGTAGGCGGGCTTGATTCATGGTGATTCCACTCAGCCTTTCACCCTTTGGAGGCCAATAAACTGCCTAAAATATCCTGGAGGGGAGGGAAGCAGACGTTTTCCTGGGGCTAGCTATGATGGCCAAGCCAGGAAGATCCACAGCAATCCAGGGCATTGTGATTGACCAGCATGTGAACCTATAATTTTAATGATAACCTGTTACTAATTTTACATTGTAGTGGGGTTGAAAATTATTGACAATAGAACGAAAGTCATTGCTAAGACTCATCCACATCTTTTTATTTGGGATACACTGATCTGTTTGAGTTTGAGGTATTTCAAAGCATTTGATGCAAAAGGCTCTTCTATACAGGTGCAAGTTGTTTGGCCTCCAGCTTACACCTAATTGTTCTTTAAAATTGCAATATCCCATAGCAATTATTTTTTCTGTTGTATTGGTAAGACATGAACATTGCCTTTCGATGAGGGATGGAAAGAATTCTATTTCCATTTTTCAGTTTTCTACATTTTACCAATTCCTTTAGATTTTTATTATCTTCACTAATGTGTGTTTTATGTGCACGTTGTCGACGATTGCTGTTTACCTCACTTCTGATTGGTAGAAGCACAAGTCAGGAGAGAGAGAGACAATGCTATAAAGTGCACAAAACCATAAATTGTTTTTCTCAACCTACATGGGAAAATAAAGCTCCGTAAGGTGAGCAGAGTAAAATAGTTTGTTAATTCGTCAATGCAGTGTGCACTGGAGTGATAAGACTTGAGTTTGTGCCCACAGTAGTTTGAACGCTGAATTGTACTTTCACTGTACCAAAAGGGGTGTTGAAAGTGCATCAAATTCCTTTCCTTCATGCATAATTGTTATGAAATGAGTTAGACAGGATACATTATAGGATCCTTGAAGAGAAAATAATTGAAGTTCTAATGTAAGGTATCATATTTATATACTATTTGGGACCTTGAGGGCATTTGACATATAATAATAGTCGTTTGACAATAAGTGGAAAGAAGTATTTCCAACCTTGCATAGATCACTGTGAGCTCATGTTTGGAATATTGCTACAGTTTTGTACTCTGTATTCAAAAGAACATAGAAGTGTTATAGAGGTTAATATTGGAGCAATAACGATGATTCCAGGACGTGGAACTCTAAGATACAAGCTGGTAGATTCCTATTAGAGGGGTGGTTACTTCATTCATTTTTTCAAACTGCTGAGACACAAATAATATAGATGTAAGCAAGTAACTGTATTTGACTTGTATCATTAATGCAGAGCTTTGGTGATAGGATTAATTTTTTAAAAAAATTGTGGTTAGAAATTTGAAGACCTACCGCGGAGTAGTAGATATATGGAATAGATTTTCAACAAAAGCAGATTGTGTGGTGTCAATTATGTACAAAAAATGGTTAATGATTTTGGAGGATATAAGGGCAGATACACTCTAAAAGGAATAAATACTCCATTGGAGGAGGGGGAAATAGGGGAGGTGGCCAGATCTCAACAGTGGAGATGTAGGGATGAAGTAATATAATGGTATTCTCTTAAATTGTCTGGAGTTAAGGGAGTATCTTCATACAACTTTGCATCCCCTTATCGTAGGATTTGTGTAGACTGTGGAGAGAGTATTTTTGTCGAAAAAATGATTACATATTGCTCCCTATTCTCATATGTTCTTAAAAGCACACTAAAATTATACTGGAGTAACCTGAATGATGCAAATGATGCAAATGATGCTGAAGCTTGGCTGATCAAACCACTTTGCGAAGGTAGTAGCAGTACATCTATTTTCAGCACTGCAGTATGAGTAAAGTAAATCAATGTGGGTTTCACTCTACAATTTTTAACAGACTTACTATTAAAGAGCTGGTTGCTTAACCATAAGTTCTTGTAATATTACAAATTGGCTATTAAGAAGAGTTTGAGGCTCTGGGAATGTTATTTGGAAGAAGAATTTTAGGAGTTCCTCTTTTAGAAAAATTTTTTTTTAAGTGATATTATGCAAGTATCAGTAGTTCCAGCAAGTAAAGTGACAAAATGCAACAAACTACATTAAATTCAATAACATTCTGCACTTCAAACTAATGATAAACTGTGGTTAATATGGGTGTAGTTTAAACTTTGGAGTCAGTGTTTGCTTGGATAAATAATTTTATGGATTTTCTGATTCACGTGAAACGATATTGAACTCTTTAGACGTTGGCCTTAATTTGTGCATGCTGCTGACCTGATGCTGTGCAGGGACATTCGGTGCATCCTTTCATTCAGTCCACTCAAATTATCCCCAACTTCCTGGGGAGCCTGCTTAGAAGTGATCATGAATGTTTGTTATTCGTTATAATCTTATTAACTTCCTAGGTTACTTGAAATAAAATCAGTTGTACTCTTTGAGTTTCAGAAATATTCATTGTCAGAAACTCGTTAAATAGCTACAGCGATTTCTTAAACAGCAATTAATTTTTCACAATTCACAGAGATTGCACACAATCATTTTTTCAATATAAAATACTTTAAAAGTCTCTTGCTGATGTTCACCAAATTGGAGGGCTCTCTGGATAAGAAAGAAAAAGCTTTAAATCTTGCAAATGTTGTCCTTTAGCCTGAATATCAAGCAGGATGTTATTTTTTTACTTGAGCATATCTTTTAAAGCAGAGTTTCATGCTTGTCTCTCTAGGTTCATGTGAAAATGGCAGATGAAGCTGCCTGCGTAGGACCAGCTCCCTCCAACAAAAGCTACCTCAACATGGATGCCATCATGGAGGCCATTAGGAAAACCGGTGCCCAAGCTGTGAGTCTGAATGTGCTTAAAATCAATTGCCATAGCTTATATATTCCTTAGAAAAGCCGGAACTTGTAAAAGAATATTCTCTTCTAGCTTAGTTCATGTGACATGAGTTAAATGGAAGCTCGATCACTACTGGAAATCAAAGGCTTTGTAGCATCTGGCAGTGCTGGTTGGTGATCCTGCAGGTGGCTGCAGGATTCAGCTTTCACACCAGGGAGTAGCTTGAGTTCATTTCATAATTTACTTTTATTTAAAAAAAATCCAATTAATCTTGAGCATTAAATTAGCATTTCCTTTAATATTTCTTTATGGTAGTTGCTCCAGAAGCTGTAAGCGTACACTTATTATGCAGAAAAGCAGTGAACATTAACACTGGCAATACACACGGTCAGGCAAACAATGCAATAGAACATTTCTTTCCTTGCTTCAAGCATTGAATAAGATAAATGGTGATAGTCTTAAGATTAATTAGGAGTTTAAGAGATTATATTATATGCCTTCTGCTTTTTGTCTTAGGTCCACCCAGGATATGGGTTTCTTTCAGAAAACAAAGAATTTGCCAGACGCCTGGTAAGTTTTGTTGTTGATTCCCCCTTGCTGTTGATTAATCTTGCGGAAAGGACAGACATGGCAGTTCGTCTTTGAGTAACGAACATATGAGTTGAGAGAGGGGCCTGATTTAAAGCAAGACTGAAACCTTCCCAGTGGCACTCTTGATGACTCAGCTGGCCTCATCAGTGTGTATTATGATAACGCCAGAGTCTTGGCTTGAGCAAATTTAGCTGAAAGCAGAGCAACCGAATTGTATGAACCTCACTGGCATGGGTAAGCTTAAAAATGCCTTAAAACATCTTTGAGGGACATAATGATTCCAGGAAAATCTGTTATTTCACAGAATTGTGGCTATTTCCAAAATTATGCTGTGATGCTCTTTCTGAAATTTTGCTGGAATCGTGCGCCACAAAAGGAGCCCTTTAGCCCTGTAAAAAGTTGGTGCATCATCACATTTATCTCTGGCACTTCCAGGCAGCTCAAACAAAAACTAGATGGTTTGTTCTATATTAGGAATAAATACTTAATTCAAAAGTGGCCTTTCATATTGTCGAATTTCTTAGGTGTTCTCTATGGAGGCCTGTAAATACTTTGTTGGCAGTGATGGTGTAACGTTGTTTGAAGCCTGTATGTATTACAGGAAGCATTTTGTTTATGGCCCCTGCTAAGTAACTGATGTGTTTACATCACTGGGATTATTTACTTAGATGAAGCTAAAAAGCCTTTTGAACCAGGATAATCTCACAATATGGTTATAGTTTTAATTTAAAATGCTGGGTTTAGCTCAATATAAACAAAACAGAGTTGGCTTTTCAGTAGCTTGAGTAGAAGTTTTTAAAAAAAAATAAGTGTTTAAAATAAAACAATAGGAGAACTGCAGCTGGTGACTTTTCAAAACTAGTATTTTTCTTTTTTTTGTTTGATGACAGTATTGCAGCATTTTGTTCAGTTTTTTTTCTTCAGAATAGAAGAGAAATTTATTCTGTATGTCTTTTTTACTTTTATACACACATACACACAAAACAAAAGAGCGCAGCTGTTCCTCTATTGTAATACAGACACGCTCCACTGGCAGAGAGTGACCCTTTAGGTCAGGAGGCGCCATTGCAGCACTTCACTGATAATCAAGCAGAGGTACTCACTCAGTCACTAATTAATACAGTGGAGCCTTGTTATTGTGACCTTTAATTTGCAAGCACACAACCAACAATAAGCAGGAAGTGACGATAACTGGGCTTCACTCTAATATGGGTACTAATCCTCCCATGATTATGAGTCCCTTAGGGAAATAGCTTAAACACTCTCACTTTCTACAGTGTGTATTGCAAGAGTTTTGCATTGACAGTATAATTACGTTCCTAAATTCTATGTCTTGGTGCGATAAGATGAGCACCAGGACACATGTACATTAAAATGCTTAACTATACTGACAGGCCACTTTCCAAAAGCTATGCTCAGAGCAGTTGTGTTACTTTGACACAGCAGGGTGTTTTCGAAGCAGAATAGTGACTGCCTTTGTACAGGTTTCTAACCTGTAACACGATTAACAAGTTCAGATGATATTGTTAACTGCAGGAGCAAAAGTAAACCAAGCAAGCTTTAGTAATCTGAATTTTCTCTACTAATTGTTGTACACTTTGTCAATGTGTGCAGTGAGGTTAAAGTGACAATGGCTGAAGCAGTTTCTGAAACATGCTGTATATTCTTTTTCTCATTCAGTGATAACTTGTTAATGGAAACTAGAAAATGAAAGACACAGTGCAAAATTGCTTATATTTTGATGTTGGTTGATAGGTAAAATGAATGATAAACTTCCTAAGCATGTGCAGAAACAAAATCTGGAGATGCTGAGATTTTTAAAAGAAAAGGCTGAGGCTGCACAATGTAAACCAATCATTATGTAAAAGGAGGATATGTCCCAAACAATGGCCACATTTGGAAAGTGTGAAAATCTATCACCCATTATTAATGGCTGTTTGCATTACAATTGCATTGTATTTAATTGGAAGGAAATAGCATGGCATTGTCTATATGTCTAAAAATGTGAGAGATAAAAGAGATTTGATAATGGGATAATTTCAAGTCAATGATCCCTTGTCATTTCTAAAAATAATTAACAACTTGCATTTACTTAGCATTTCATGAAAAAAACTCAGAGCACTTCACGAATCTAGTGATGAACACCAAACAGAGATTTATACTGCTTTGATATTTTATATACCTCTCCGGATGCAGAGTCCTGAAATGTAGTGTCAATTCTGCCTTTTCAAACACCGGACATTTTTATATTCAAAAATACGTCTGCTCAGAAAGCCGTCCATTCAGCTGTGACCAATCTCATCATAATAATCTTTACATCTGGTATAGCTCCTTTCACGTCAGGAGGAATCTGAAAATGCTTCACATTATATTCTGTAAAATCCAGTGACTGTTTTTTGTGGATGAATGTGGCAGCCAATTTGTGCACAGCAATGTCCCACAAACAGCCATAAAGTGAATGGCATTTTATATAGGGGGTTATTGGCTAGGACATTGAGACAAACTATCTTCTCTTTTCGAAAAGTGCCGAGGAATCTTTAATGTCCACCAGAACAGATGAACCTTCAGTTTAACATCTCATCCAAAGGATGGAAAGAGCATTTCTGATCCTGGGATTGCTCACAAGAGTAGTTGTGGACATGTGCAGAAACTTTTATCCCTTTTTTTCTTGAATGCTCCCCACCGAATGAATATTAGTGGAGCTTGGGAGGGTCTCCTGAATATCGGGCTGTGTTGGTCCCAACCACTTCCACTGTTTACTTAATGGCTGGTTGACAAAATAAATGTAAGTTTTTGTGGAACAGCTGCAGGCCACTGGCATCAGGACCAATGGCAGCAGTGAAAAGGTTTTTGGTGACTACTAGTTCAATCACAGGCACATGGAAATAGATTGCATCTATTCCATTTTATTTCAAGTCAGCCTCAGTCATTATTCAAAGGGTAAATCCAAAAGCATTATATCTATGATACCCATGCCTTCAGCAGGATGATAAATTTATCAAGTTAACACTGTGACTGCTACAACAACAACATTTTGCTGGACAGTCGAGAATTTGCACCCGATCTGGTGGTTAGATTCAAGAGGGGCAGGCGGGAAGGGGGATGGGAGGATGACCGAAGGCATGGTCAAAGAGGAAGGTCTTGAGATGGACCTAGGTTAAGGAGGCAAGGGAACCCTGTGGAATGCTGCATGTGACTATGGGGGACAGGAGGAGAAGCCATTGGAGACTCATTTACAGAGGCAAGATTACATTTGTATAGCACCTTTCACGTCGGGAGGACGTCCCAAGGTCTGCCTTTTGGCTTTTATCCTGCACGTAGCTTCTCTTTCTCCAGCTGTGGAGATGGTTGTGGCAGCTAGCAGCAAAGTTGCATGTCCAGTTGTTTTCCTTCTCTGTGCTATGAAATCTGCTCTAAATTATAAGCCTTCATAGTTCTTGCACCAGATTTTGTTGGACAACTACTTACAGGCTGTTACAAGTCCAAGTCCAAATAGGTGGGTGTGTTTACATTGCGCCCTTGTTGGCAGAACTGTCTTAACATTCATGTGTTTTTTGCTCTTTTCTTTGGGTTTAAAACCTTTTGAAAACTTGAGCATGTTTAATTTTGATAGACCATATGTTTTTTGAAATTTGGTCTGATTCTTATTTTTCCACCCATCCCTCAAATATTTTCCTCTCATGTCTTGTCCTGAAGGCACTGATTTGGGCGTCACCCATCATTACAACCCCAGTGTTTTCCTGGATTTTAATTTGTGCATGATGAATTGCAATTGGTGACAGACATATTATATAAACAGGCATTAGTGTTACCAGTGATACAGTTTAGAAATGCTGGATTTTATTTTGTTTTCTCTATATCTTAAAATATTTTGAATACTTACAGCACTATGTTGAAATTTCAGTATCTACCTTTCAGAAATCTAGTGAGCTAAGATTCCACCATAAAGCGGTCCTCCATTTCTGCCCACATACTCTGCAGCCCCAGGACAACTAACTTCATTTTGATTCTTATTCGGTTATAAACTGGTTGCAATATGGACCCCATTCATGCACATGCACACAGCCAGCCCACTCACATCCCGTGTGCAGCCAGTGCTCAAGCTAAAATGACCAACATCTGGGTTATTAAAACTACATGGTCAATGGTATAGAGGCTTAAGCCAATGGGAAGAAAATAAAAATAGAAATAATTATTTTAAAAAAATGTCTCAATTAATAATTCTTGCATTTCGTGGAGTGTCTTTTGCGTCAGGAGGACATATCAAAGCACTTTGCAGAATTTATTATAAAGTGAGTTCATTTGTATTTATTAAACTGGAATGGAGTGATTCAGAGTATGAAGCTGGATTTCTGTTTATTCATACATGTATTGAATTTATGCATTTATATCACTAAACACTGTGGTGTGAATCGGTACCCGAGAGCTTCAGTGCAAATTACTTTATGATTCCATTGTATGTCTCAAACTTGATGTATACATTTGTTTGCTGCAGTATGCAACAATTTCCCTGGCAAACCCCATTGTAAACTGGGCAGAAGTTGAGATTTAGCAAAGTTTTCAAATTCAGTACTCAATGTTAGAAATGAAAAGGTTTGTGTAAATTATGACTCAGAACTTGTCAGTGAACTATTTTCATCAGTCCTTTTTGTAGTTATTGCAATGGTGCAGAGCTGTAGCATTAGAATGTGTTGGTCTAAATGGAAACATTTAAATTATCCAGTGAACATTTACTCATTAGCAGTGGCAGTCTAGGTTTTAAACACAAGTCTGTAATTTACATTTCATTGCTAAAAGGCTGCCCTTGTTCAAGAGTTGTTTCTAAGCTTGATGAATATACTTGTATTGGGAATAAACAGACTGGGAAGAATTGAAAGCCAAATACCCTGCCAGGCTTTTGAGAAGGATCTGAAGTTTCCAGTTGATCATTGATTAGCAATGCATGCAGCAGTTTGAAAATGCAAAGCTAAGAAACACAA